AATAGGGGTAATATAAAGAAAAATAGAAAATATGCAGCATTTAAATGGAAATAATAGTAATGATAATAATACAAGTGGAAATTGCCGTGGGCTTGTTTTACACAGTATTGTCGATGCGGTATACAAATCCTTGCATGATTAGAAATATTGAATATAATGTTCTGTTTACATGATATGGTGAGGGAAAAAAGAAAGATTACAGCAGTCATAGAGATAAGTTGGTGTTTGCAGTTATGAAAGTGAAAACAAAGAAACAACAGAACCATAAATATAATAGAAATAATAAAAGTAAATCTTGAAGGTATATAAGGGTGGATGGAGGAGATTGCTTATTTACTAGATGAAAAAAAGTTAGTCAATTCTTGCCTGACGCTATTTTCATCATATAAAATACGTGCCAAGTATGGTATCATAGAATTTTTGTACTTAGATGTGCGAGCATACAGTTTTCTGAAGTTACTTCTTGTTCTACCTGAGGAGATGCAAGGTGAAAGCTGAGGGTAAAGTGGATGCTCCAAGTCAGACAAAATCCCTCTAGCAAATTTACTGCACGAAGTCAAGTGCCTATCGACAACGATGTTAACTATGTGGTCCAGTGGGACACCATTCATCCTACTGACTGACCATCTTCAGCATTCTACGAATTGTGACAAAGTCCTTTTAAGCAAATCAGGAAAGAATAAGGGTGAACAATAAAGAAGAATAGGTAGGATGCAAGAGTTTATGAACTGCAAGAGGAGGGTTTAGTTGAGTTATACCCGAGTGCCTTAACTTCTTACTGTAAAATGTCTGGCGGAATATTGTACTGGAGATCGCTGAGACATGCGAAGACCAGGAGAGATCAGAAGAGAGAATAAGTCCAAGATACTTAATTTCTGATTTAATTCCTATATCATTGTCATGAATCTTACAACTGTTATGAGAATCGACGGATTCTTCTAACTGTCATATACATCTTAAGCTGAAATTAACAGTTTGACATTTAGAAGGATTCAGTTTAAGACCATTAGACTCAGACCATTTACTGACTCCCGACAGAAAGCTATTTATTTTGGTACAATCTAGCTGGGAGTTAACAGCCATTGAAACAGTCAAATCATCAGCGTACTTCACAAAGTTTATTTCATCAGAGTAAAGCAAGTCATGTAAGAAGAAAGAAAAAAGAAAAGGAGAAAGGACAGCACCTTGAGGGACACCAGCTTCAGTAGGCAATGAAGTGGAAGACTTCCCTTTATATATGGTGTACTGCTTTCTTTCTGAGAAACAGGAATGTAACCAGTTAACAGCCCAACATTCTGTTTGACTCGCAGCAAGTTTATTTAATAAGATGTGCCTAGGGACCGAGTCAAAAGCAGATATATAGTCTAGGAAGGTATAACGAACAAATTTAGCCCCTTTGTCTAGACTGGAAGCAATGTTATGATATAAGATGGCAGCTGCACCTAAAGTGCTTCTACTGTGCTTATAAGCAAACTGTTTTGGGTCATTAAAGGATTTAAGGGAGGGTACAAGATTAAGTTAAAGTAGTTTCTCCATGGTTTTCAAAAAAGGAGAGGTAATAGCAGTGGGTCTAAATTTAACACATGCTCCAGTAAACGATTTAGGTATGGGTACAACTTTAATGTCTTTCCAAACAGCAGGCACCATATTACTGGAAAAAGATTTGTTAAACAGATCAGTGAGAAGGTGACACAGAATATCAGAACATTTTTTGAAAATAATACTAGATACATGATCTGGACCTAAGCTCTGGGAAGGGTTCAGAAACTTGAGGCACTTTTGAACGTCATTTGTGTTGAAACCTGGAAAGGGGCTATTATTAACTCTAGTGATACTGGGAAGCATGGAATTTGAGGGAGAATAAATAAAAGACTTATTAAGAGTACATACATCAGAAGAATACGGAATATTGTTTATCTGCTTACCACCAGTGATTTCCTTAAATAGTTTCCACATATTAGAAGCATTTTTACAGGATATGAATTTCTGGTTATATATGACATTCAGTCTCCGCATTTCAGACTTGATAAGGAAGTTATTTCTTTTCACACCACTTTTATCTTTCATTTTATATAGCTTTTCCCTCTCTCTACGAAGCTTTTTAAGTTGAGGGGAGGAGAAACGGTCGAATTTGACGAATAGTGTTTCTTTTGGGTAGCAGATTTCAAAAAAGAATTTCAGATAAGACGTAATATTAGAGATAGTGTCATCAAGTGAAACACCATTAAACAGATCCCATCTTGTGTCACTGAGCATGTTTCTAAGATGTTGTACATTCTCATTTGAGTAACATCTGTGAACAACTTTCTTGGACAAGTTAGAGAAGGCTTTTTTGTGTAACTTTCCGTAAACTTTGGGTAGAACTCGTACAATAGAGTGATCAGAGTTTGAGAGTGGAGCTCTTTTACGAGCGTCGTATATTCCAGAATCATTTATGAATACTAAATCAAGCGAAGTATCTTGTCGAGTTGGGAAGTTAACCACATTTTCATGACCCAGCAATGTAATAAATCTGTAGTCACTGGCGTTGAAGTCACCAGTCACTACAGATAAGGAGTTACCAAACGAAGCAGCAGCAAAAATAGTGAATTCGTCGGCAAAGATAGATAGTTCTGAGGGACTGCAAGAAGGTGTGACATAGATATTTGTGACAAAAATGCAGTTATACTTAGGTAAGTATTTTGGTCGGCATTTAACAGTTATACAATCAGTATTGTCATTTAAGAATTTGAAGCAGACGTTGTTGGCAGTAGACCACTGAGAATTAATAAAAGTGGCAACACCTCCACCCCTCTTTTTCTTTGAGCTGCATCGGTCTTGTCTGTACATTGTGAAATCAGGTAAAGAGACTAAATTATCGTCAAATGAATCGTGCAGCCAAGTTTCTTGAAGAGTAATTACAGCAGTATTACAATATACATTTGAGTATAATAGAGAGTGCAAGTAATTAATCTTGTTGGGTAGAGATCTACAATTTGTGCATTAACCTGACATTCTTCTTTAAAATATTGCATAAAATATCATTCTCAGACAGCAAGGATATACAGTTCTCACCGGAAGGCTCTTACAATCTTCGTAACCAAACGTGCACAGTATCTAGGAAAAACTGTAAGACAACACTCCGTGCAAACTTCTTCATAGTCATGTACTCTAAGATCTGGAACAGTTTACCCCTAGAAATAAGGACCTGTCATTCTATTATAACCTTCAAACGCTTGCTATATAAACTGCTTCATCCCAATGACTATGCCAATCACACCGCACCACTTATTTCCAAAACGCATGAGCTATTAGGACACTATAACGCCTAGACTCATTATTAAATATTACGACACTAAATAAACTCTAAGACTTCGCAAAATTACATGAAAAACAACTAGATTATGGGTAGTGTTTACTATACAATGATATACATTTATAAACATTTATATGTACATAAAATAATAATGTTGTTCCCATATTTACATACTTTATCTCCCTGCTGAGCGTAATCTTCTATATACCTCCTGGTCGAGGTCGAACAACCCAACATCTAAACTGAAATGACCATCTAAGTTAATTCAAACTCAAATTCCATGAACGATCCGATGCAACCACTTGAAAACGCTGGCTAACATTCTGTACAAGGGTTATTCTTGATTTGATATAAAGAAACAACTGGTTTTCAAGTAGTTTTCAATGTATTACTCAACTTACATGTACAGTCTGCCATGCTGACGCAAATGGCGCAAATGGATAGTTCCAGAATTAACCCCATCTGATGCAGTAAAACAATCTAACATTACCTTATCTAATTTTCGTATCAAAGATCAAATTTCTTTCCTATTATAAAACTACGATAAGACTGCTGACAAAAATGGAATAAATACATTATTGACTCAAAATAATACATCAATAAACTTTATCTCACGGATGCTGTTCACAACAAAGTTTTATAGGAGAATCGACTTCAAGCTTTATTTTTCCCAGATATTTGTATCACATTCATCTGAAGTCTGGGTTTTTTGTTAATGCGAAGACAATATTTCTATATCTCTTTATGTGTTAAACAGACAGACTATTTTGCAGACTGTTCTGACTGACTCTTATGTCAGAAAGAACAAACAAACTGTAAATTCAACATACATCGAAACATGTGTAATTTATATAATAACTTATCCATGCCTATAAAATTGGTATGTTCCTGCATAAACAGGAGTAAATAAATAAATCACAGGAATAGTCATCAAATGCATTGGAGTACGCTTTAAAGCTCGTTGCCATCCACCATCAGGCTTTTTCTTAAGTTTGTTAGAAACTAGTAAATCAGCCTGTTGGAAACGTTTTAAATAACCGCGAGAGTAAACAATACGATTAGGACACATAATTGAATGATTAAAATGAAATAAATCCGAGGAAATAGATGCAATATGTAGGATGGAAATTTTGATAGCCCAAGATTTAAGCAAGAGTGTATTCCACGCAATACATGCTAGACCACATCTAGATAACCTCATACAAGCTGTAAGTTCATGCTTCAAGAAGGAGGAACATATCTTGGAAAGAGTAAAGAGAGTAGGAACAAAACTAGTCTGTGTTATCTTATATCTTTCTTATAAGAGGGGAATGGAGCATTTAAATATCTTCTCATTGTCATACCGAAGGAGGAGAGATGACTTAATTTCGGCATATTGTATACTAAAGAACTACAAGACCTTCCCAGCCCTTTCTCCATCTAGGACACATTCATGGGGCCACAATAAAAAGGTTCTCAAAACCGGATCGAATAAAATACGTGTGGAATTTATATTCTCTAATACAGTGTTTAATGACTGGAACTCCTTACCCTATTCATTGGTATCAGCCTTATTTGTGAACGCCTCCAAACGGAATTTGGATTCATTTAGAGATATATATTGCAAGGATTAGCACAGGCCACAACAAACTAATAATATCTTCTGAATCTGAACGTAGCGGTAATTCGAAGTATGTTTTACTTGAAGGTCACTTGAAGGTTAGTAGTCGTGACGATAAACACTGTAATTCTAATCACGTCGGTTATGTTCTCCCAAATACAAAAATCCTCTTATTCCCGTTTCTAGATACGTGATATGCAATCATCGGGTGAATCACTGGGGTGAAAACTGGTAGTGAAGGTGAGTCATATGTTTCTGAAGTAATTTAATCCTGTATGGTTAAAAGAAATAAGAACTTTCATTGTATTATATCTAGTGAAGCATTAATTTACTCTTTTCGTAATCGCTGTCTCTTGGCACCTGTGTGTTTACTTAAATTCTATGGTTTCTCAAACGAGAATAAGAAATTAGGATATAAATATTCGTTAATAATAGTTGTTGAGCATTAAATATACGGATATATCTTAAGAGTCGAGGAGTTGACACCTCTATGTTGACCACTTATAATGATAAATAAATGTAATACCCAAGCTTACATCTGTAAGCTTCCGTATTAAACCTAGGTACATCTTGGCAAAAAATGTTCACAAGGTAGTGACATCAGAGAATAGTATTGCCGGACTTTCACCTGCATGATGCTTTCAGTCTGTAATAAAGGTCGCATCGGCGCAGTTGTATTGCACCCTTTGGGCGAAGTTAAATGATCACTGCCAAAGTCAAGCCTTGTCAAAGGTCAGCCTTCGAAGGCTGATTTACTTATTTACTGTCACACCTCTGGTCAAATAGACCGATCACTTCATATGTAATTCGCAGACAAGTATGTAGCCGTCACACTACGTACTCTGTGTGAAATCTACTCTTTGCTGATTGGATGGGTTCAATATACTATGTCGAAAGAGAGTGCTATTTTTCAGCATTACCAGCAGCATTTAGGCATGTAGTGCTTATTTACAGCACTGAAGACATTATTTCAGATGCTGATCTTTTTTTTAAAGATTTTGTCGCACCCAGCTCTCTTTTCAAGCACGACCAGCGTTATTTTAGAACATAGCGGGTAGATAAAATATTCATTTACCATAAAAAGGCACTGTTAACGCATAGGTTAGAATAAGTTTAGAATTGTTGTAAGCTTGGGTCAAGAACCAATCAGACTTAGAAAACGCCACTGAAAATCACTTCATATAAAACCATTCATGTCTTCGTGTGTTTCGAGAGAGCATGACAGTAAGGTAATACAAACTTGTGAGAGATAAACGTTGTTATAGATACAATATATGCTATAAGAGAAAATTGGTTCGTGAGGGTAGGTACAGTGTCCTAATTATTCCCTAGGTAATTTTTGTAAGGTTAGAAATAGGATCAGAGTTAGTGGTAGGTCAGAAATATCAATGGATCCCAAAGTAAAATGGTCTACAGTCACCCGTATGAATGCATCTGTTACGCATAGTATGATTTCTGCGTGGATTATCCTCGTACTACAACACATAAGAATAATAAAGGTTTTTGTATTTCTAATGAATAAAAAACAAAACGATATTGTTTTTACTGACGTTTCGCTATTTAATGCTAATAGCTTTATCAAAGTGTTATTAAACCGGAATTTACAAAATCTCAGCATATATGTAACAAAGAGTTAAGGGGTGAAAAAATAGACTTAGGTCAAGTTAAAAGGACATATTGAAAGTCAAAATAACAATAAAGATCACTAAACCAAATAACAAAGGTAATAATACATCTGTTATGGTATCAAAACAAAGTTTACTAACTTGATCATCGTTCGTTAGTCTGGGGTCATTTTTCGTTGTCAAGTGCGTCAATTGATAAAGATAACAAAACCAAGTGTAGATTGTTGGATTTGATCAGTATTTAAAATTATAAAGGCAGTGTGTGTTTACATGGTGAACTTGCATATCACATTCGTGTTGATTTTGTCACTTCCTGGGGGAGGGAGGTGTTGTAACCAGGTCATATTCTGTTTTAGTCCATCATTCCTATTCAGGCAATTTGGATTCCACTTGATATAAAGTGCTTCTGATACTAGACGTTCTTTGTGATTTCTGAAGTTTTTCTGGATTATTTCAATATTGCCAAAATCAATTTTGTGACCTGATTCTATAGCGTGTAGACAGATCTATGGCTGATGATTTTTCTAGTTCAACCGGAAATCTCGGTGGTCGAAGAGATGCTCTACGGTGTTCATTTCTTCTGATTTTGATTTCTCGAAATGTTTGTCCGATGTATATCGCATCACATTCCAAGCATTTCATTTTATAGACACAATTAGATAGAGAATCTTTAGGGATCTGGTCTTTTATATGGACAAGGTTGTTTCGTAGTGTGTCTGATGTTTTGAAGAAAACTCTAATGTCGAGCTGATTGAGTACTTTTCTGATATCATCTGACTTCTCTGCTCTATATGGAATGACCACTGTTGAGGTCCATGTTTTCGGAATGCATTTTCGGCCATACTTAATGTATTTATTGATTTTGTTGGTGAATTCCATCCTGGCTGAGGTTGATAGTGGGCAGCTGCAGTGCAGCTTTAGGTCTGTTGAACTGTCCCTAAAGATATGGTGGATACGCTTGTTTGCGCACTGAGAGAGAAAGCGTACGCACTATAGTAGATATCTAGACTTTTAATAATCTCATATTAGTTTGTTTATTTGATATATCACACAGTGAAACAGTATTATTTACTGGATTTAATAATAAATAATAATAAATAATACTGTTTCACTGTGTGATATATCAAATAAACAAACTAATATGGAATTACTTACTACCACAGTGCCCAAGTTTTACACATATTTTAATAATCTCATCGTTTACAAGTAGTGGCAGGCTTGATTAAGTGCCTAAAAAACCGAGCAACAATTATAAGCAACGCATCAAAAAGCCTAAATAGGGAAATAAAATAAACAGAAAAAACACTATTTCTAAATACCTATCGCTTTGAATTTATTTAAAAGTTAAAAGAACTCATTAAGTAATAGTAGTAAGACTATTGTTCACAACATAAGTAAGGAGGAATTTGAGGCATCTACAGTGTCATCGTATAAGGAAGGATTCTTAGAAGGACTGAAGTTCGGATAGTATTTAAACCCACAAACTCACTCAGGGACAAACTCTGCAGATCAAAAAATCCTAAGATATGCTTTGGAACCACCATGAAGTCAGTTGCATAGATTAACTCAGTAGGTCGGGGTTAGTTAAGCCATCAGTTATTAAAAAGTCAGACCCTAAGAATCACCAAAATACAGTGCACAAGTTCTATCCTTTATCAAGTTTTACCTGTATTGCCCAATCCTAAGTTACGCAGACTGTTATACACCTGGGAAGCGACAGATATTGAGGAGAAAAATATACGGCTGTTGTAGCTTTGAGGTCTAAACAAATAGTAATCAACTGGTGGCTATTATGTAGACGCGTTTAAACTGATCCTTTTTATACTGATTCATACTAGTTTCTGGCTTATTACCGGATAGCATTCTCAGAGTGGACTTGTAATCTCTACTTTGTGGTGACTTAGTTATGGCAAGTATGTAAATAGACCTCTTTAGCGTCGTTATGTTATATCAAACGTAGTTACCTGGAAAGATTTATGTGTATCAGGCAATATGCTACAACTTGTGTGTGAAGGCTGACGATACTGCCCAGTTACCCAAGCTGTAGTGGGCAGGGCGGGATTTGAACCCGGCATCTGTTAGCTGAAAGCTGACTTCTTAAAGCAATAAGCCAAATCTCCACAGTCTCCTGCTAAGTAATTTTCACATAAACCCAACCTTAGGATTTTTATCTTCAAAATGAAATCAATGGTTTTTTCCAACTATATTCCTTCTGTGTTCGTCAACGTATTTGTGTCTGAAAATAAAATTAGTTTTTATGTCCCTCATACAACGATTAGGGCACATAAAATCAATTCACCGCCAATTGGATTATGTGACGTCGCAACTGTAGTTTCTGTCAATACTGTTAAGTAATAGTATAAATACTACATATTTTCAACTTAGTGTTGTGCAGCACTCGCGCTTTATTGTTGATTTACGTGATTGATTTATTTGCATTTGTCTGGGAGTTGATTATTTTGCTTTCTAAGTAGGGTGTAAGTGGAGAAATTTTCTTACCACACTTAGTAAGATAACGATATTTTCCAACTCGAAGTATTGCTTGAGATCAAAGACGAGACATCGTGTCTGCTTGCTAGTCTATGTACCAAAAGTACTGCCTGGAATAAAGCTATTATTATTATTTTCGGAAATCCGGTAAACGGAATGGCTAGTGTATTGTTGTTGACAATTTCCATGTTTGGTTTTGTAAATAACATTTACCTTGTCTTTTCTCGATAATGAATATCATTTTTGCTTGGAAATCAGATTTTATAGTAGCTTCATTAGTGTATGTGTCATCTCAATCTCAGCTGGACGAGGTAATTAATTAATAGCTTCTTCATACTGCTGGCAAGTGTTTTGTTATTTAGTTGCGAGGCTAGTCATATGGTCTAAACCCCCTGAGCAGATAGTTTTCTCCAGATTAGTACCTGTGGTTTTTGTATACCTTGAAATATTTTGATCTATTTACCTTACTCCACATCAAAAGTGTCCCAGAAGCCACATCAGCTGACTACTGGGCAGGTAAGGTCAAATAAGTTACTTTGTTAAATAATACCTACATCTGTGTCTAGTGGTTCCACAGTTTTAGTTGATGAGGTTTTCAGGATTTCCATCGAATAGTGTGAAGAGCAGTTTGAACAGATCATGAAATCAAGTAAATGAAATTCACCACAGAACAGAAAATGAGACAGAAAGTTGGTTGTTACCTTATGAAGTTTAATTATTTGTAGATACATGCAAGCTCTCTAGCTGGCTATTATGATTTGTTGTTTATTATTTTGAAACCTGGAAAACTTATTTATTTATTTATTTAAACGCAGAAAAACTTGGTACAATATGGCACCAAGAAAGATGCGCCACACAATAATAATAAAACAACATAGATTAAAAGTAAAAATATAGGTAGAAAACGAATAAAGAACTTCATCAGGAAGGAAAACAGTCATGTTTAACAAGTTCAAACAGTATTCGTTAACTATCATCAGGAAGGGAAGAAAGAAGGAAATTGCAACACGTTCGCCATTGATTACGATTCTTGGCCATATCCGATAACGTTTCGAGCCATCGATTCGAGCTATCTCGCGGACCCCAACCAGGGAGTCGTGACACACCAACCGATGCTAATCTAGCACAAATATCCTTCATCCCACGACGCCACGTCATGGACTGACCACCCGTCCGCCTTTTCCATCCCGTCCCAGGGCTAGCGAACAGAGACCTGTACGGAAGCCTCTGGGATGACATTCGCAGCACATGTCCAAGCCACCGGAGCTGGTGTTTCCAGATGACGACACTCAATGAATGGTGATCTCCACTGTGTTCAAACACACGCCGCCGAACCTCAGAATTACTCACGCGATGATGCCATCGAACGCAAGCAATCCTGCGGAGACAGCGATGATCGAACACGCAGAGTCGCCGCACATCCTCAGCTCGGAGAGGCCAGGTTTCACAGGCGTAGAGCAAGGCAGCCCGCACCGAAGCATTGTATACCCGACCTTTGACAGCCAGGCTAACATCGCGACGGCGCCAGAGGTGGCACAAGTTGATGTATGCCACCCTAGCCTTCATTATACGGTTGGAAATCTCATCCGTCACCCCTCCGCCAGCACTCACACAACTACCCAGGTACACAAACTTATCAACAACTTCAAGCGGTTCACCCGCAAGAGTGAGTGCAGGTACAGGCTCCTGCCAATCTTGTAACAGTACTTTGCACTTAGACGGTGCAAAGCACATACCATACTTACAGACACTGATCGCCAACTGATTAAGTGCGATTTGGGCAGCCTGCATGCTATCGCACAGTAAGACGATATCGTCTGCATACTCGAGGTCGAAAAGTCTATCTCCAGGTAGCAGATCTACACCACCTTCACGCACATCCTTCAGAGCTGACTCCAGAATGTCATCGATGGCAAAGTTAAAGAGAAATGGAGAGATTGGGCAACCCTGTCTAACCCCACTGTTGGTTGGGAACAGTGATGATAGTTGGTTGTATGCCCTCACTCTACCTGAGGTGTTTCTGTATAGGGCTTTCAAGATGTTAACAAATTTCTCAGGTACACCTCTCTCTAACAGACAGTTCCAGAGCACAGTTCTGTCCAACGAATCGAAGGCAGCCCTAATATCAAGAAACACAACGATCGTTGGCCTGCAATACGTGTGGCGGTGTTCCAACAACTGACGAAGGGTGAACACATGATCAATGCATCCACGACCTGAACGAAACCCAGCCTGCTCTTCGCGAATCAATCCTTCACGTATTTTGCACAGCCTGCGAAGCAAGACAGAAGCCAATAATTTAGACGCGACTGGTAGCAGACTGATACCCCTATGATTGTCACACGAATTACGTCGACCCTTTTTAAAGATAGGGACGATGATGGCTTCGTTCCACATTGATGGTACACTCTCAGTTTCCCATACCTTCCTGAACAACCCAGTTAGAGCCATTGTGAGAGTCTCGCCACCATCTTTAAAAAGAGCCGGGGGTAAATTGTCTGGGCCGGGCGCCTTATGGCGTTTTAACACTTGGAGTTCCTTACGGACCTCCGCTTCGGTGGGTGGGTCGGTATTAACCGACCAAGGAGCACTGGGGCTAATGACAGCAGACATTGAAGCTGGTGGCCAGCTAAACTGTTTCCCGAAGTGCTCTGCCCAGCGTTCCAGGCGTCTTTTCAAACTGGTAATTGGCGTGCCATCTGCCTCACAGACCGTCTCGCTGACACCTTGTTTCTTGCTGCCGGTGGCTCGGATGAGTTGGAACAGCTTCCGACTGTTGCCAGATGCAGCAGCTGCCTCCATCTCACCCGCACGTTCTGACCACCAGGCCTCGCGGTCCTTACGTAAACACTTTCTTATCTTGCGCGTCAGCGCCTTTCGCTTATTGCTGTATTCGCTGCCAGCCGGAATGGACCGGCGTTCATCCAGGAGTTGCATGGAACTCGCAGAAACCCAGTGGTTTTTGGCGGAGCATTCTTTCAAGCCGCAAGCGGCTACACTAGCTCTTTGCATGGCACCTTGCAGATGGAGCCAATGTTCATCTATACTACTTGGGGGGTTGCTGGCAAGCATTGATTGTAACTCATTCTGATATTTCAAACAAGTAGCAGGTGCTACTAGTTTGCTCACATCAACGTTTAGACGACGCCTTTTATGAACCCCACCAAATCGCAAGACGAACTTGGCACACACTAACGCATGATCGGAGTCCAGGCATGTGCTCCAGAAGGAGCGACAGTCTTGTATGCATCCTCGCCACCGGAAACTGACAGCAATGTGATCGATCTGAGTCCAAGCTTGGTTCGCAGAGGGAGGACGCCAGGTAGCGCTACGGCGATGGTTGTGCCGGAAGTTGGTGCTGGCCAGAAATAGGTTGTGATCCGCGCAAAGCTGCAGAAGACGGTCCCCATTATCTGACCTGCGACCATGTAGTCCCCATTGACCACCTAGACGATTCTCCTCTGAGCTCAGACGCCCGACCTGTGCATTCAAGTCCCCAGCCAGCACTACGATATCCCTCCGACCCGCCTGTCTCAAGAGATCGCTAAGTTGGTGGTAGAACTCGTCCTTCATTGCATCCGGGCTGCAATCCGTTGGTGCATAGGCAGAGACAACAAATAGACACCGCCTATCTGGCCTACTACTCCTTACTTTCGTATAACCTTCCAGCCTCACAGCACATAAACGACTGTTAATGGGAATCCAGTCGAGCAGTGCAGCTTCGGCTCTAGCGCTCAGTGCGACGCCGACACCAGCTACGCCGGATGCCGACGCCACAGGGTCCCCGGACAAGCGCAGGTGGTACATACTACTAGAACTTCCAGATGGAGAGGATAATCGAAGCACTTCACTGGGATCTTGAATGCGAGTCTCCGAAATGCAGCAGACATCGATAGCGAGGCTTTCCAACGTTCTTACCAACCCTGCCTGTTGTCCGATTTGCATCAGCGTCCGAACATTGTAGGTGGCCAGCTTGAACGCGGCACGCGGTTTCAGGATATCTGTGTTAGATGTCACATTGGGGACAGCCATTTTGAGGGTTACTCACTAACATCTCGAAACGACACAGATAGGCTAGGAATCCAAACAAAGGCGAAAGGCTGTCGAAGGTTAAGAAGTCAAGGTGAGCAAAGGTAAAATACAGGAAACTAAGTATAAAAATAAAATTAAGGTTGGAAGGGCATAAGTTGCTTGATGTATCATTATTTCTTGGAATCATTTTTACGAGCACGCGGTGAGTTTCAATAATAGTTTGTCGCTTCATTTCATTTATTGTGTGAGGGCTGAGATACTGCCCGGGCGCCCAGACCGAAGCAGGTGGTTTTCTTAAGGGACCACCCCCCGAGCCTTTGACTTGGAGTCTAATCCGCAAGGCAGCGGAGCAGCGTCAGGTGCTGCGTTCCCATGGTTGCCGGTGACCCATATGGGTTCGTACGCCATTTGGTCCGATTGGATTCTGGAGCCCATGTACCCCATGGTAACTGCTTTTAGTCTAACCGCTATCCAAACAACCTTCCTGGCATGGTAGGACCTGCAGGGACATGAGTCCCAGCCAGTTTAGCTTGTTGGGTCACTGCGGCATTCAAGCCCGACCACCACGGCAAGGTAGCAGTTATCGGCCGGGCCTGGAAAACTAGCTGAATTTAAATATGAGGTTCTTCACTACTAAGCTACTTAGTAGTCACTGACTTTCTGATGTGTTCGAGCCTCAGACTGTTGTCGCTTCTTGGCGATGAGCGCCAACTGGCAGGAAGTGTTAATCTAGGGCTCCCTAACGACTGACGGTTAACAAGTGACAGGAAATCAAAAATACACTATAATGCACAGCAGTGCCGTATCACAACTTAGAGATTTCGTTTGTAGATTTCGATCAATGCATAGGTTCGTGTGTATCATAAGGCAAAATAAACCATCCTCGATTAAAATATAACAAAATAAATTGTAACTTCACGTATTGTTTTTTAGTAGGCTAAACAGACGCTTCATATAAATTGCTCAGGGGATGAAGTAAATACACGCTTCCAAATGTTTTTCTTTTTACAATAATCTGTATGTGTTAGTCTTAAAAACGAATCGTAAAAGTCATTTAATGCATGTCCAAATAGTTATTTTCAATTCTCGTCAGAGTTTGAATGGAACATATGAATTATTTCTACAGTCTTTTGTTTATAGCAGTCAGATTTCCTATTATTGAACAACGTGTTTGCACACTTATGATATCAGATTGTTCTAAGTTTCTCCTGGGCGTTTTTATGTCACAAATTTTCCTCAGTTTTTATTTTCTACTTCACATCAGTGTAGAGAAATAGTTAAGCATATGTTTCCCAAAACTTTGTAGGATATCCAATTGTTAACACGTAATCACAATGGGAGTTCCTGGATTATGGCGTTTACTGGAACCTGCAAGAGAGCCTATAGATTTGCAACAACTCTCCGGTAAAATTGTAGCAATTGGTGAGTTGAATTATTTTAAATTTACCCTTCGCATTTTTCTGAATGCTACCGAAATACTTTTCCTATATTTATCCGTAAATGCTTCTTTAGCCCTAGTGGTTGTATAAACGTTTCCCTCCTTTTGGTTCTAAATTGTTATACAGAACTTTTACGGTAGTTATACTAGTTACTGTCAATTTATAAACGACGTCATTGTAACTCAGTGTAAGATGTATAGGAAATGAAGGCTGTATTATCGTACCGTCTGTTACACCAATTACTTGGTTGTAGGGATAAATGCACGAGTCAGTTTCGAATTTACTGAGGAGGGCTCCAAATACCTTTAATACACGGATAAAATTCATTTTACTCACTGACTTCCACCTGTCATAATCCTATAGTGATTTCAGTCTCAGAGACAACTTTTATACCCATGAACCAATATAACTAGAATAACACTTCGCATAAGTTCTCTCCCCTAGATTTCACAATCGAAAGGACATTAAGTCTTCGTGAATTTTATTCAATGTTCTGTAAGAGACTGGCAAGTAATAAAATTTTGCATAAAACTATATACTACTGATTGACTAGGATGAGTAGTTGTAAATCATTCATATCAATTAATAGTATTTGCCAACCAGATCGAGGTGATACAAATACGGGACGGCCGTTTCGCTCGTTTGGGGACGGGCTTATCAGCGGTGTACCTGATTTGACTGAGCTCAGAGAGCCAAGTCAGTTCAAACCACTCTACTTGGACGAACTGGTGACACCATAAATCAAATTAACAATTTGCCAAATTGTTGTTTCCCACTCGGATTCCAATTGAAGACCTGGCGGGCGTTGTCACTTAATGGCCTCCTCAGAGTGTAACCGATCCACCTGCATTTTCTTCAGCAAATTTTTTGGGCAATAGTTTCTTGATAGGTTCTTTCCCAGAGTTTTTTGTTGCTAGTTGTTTCTGGCCAGCCGTCTGATCTGGAGTATGGAGCGAAGGTAAGCGTTGATAAAAGTCTTCAGCAGGTTGTTGGAAATACTTTTCATGACGCGCCACATTTCTAAATAGGTTAAATATCTTATAAATAATATCCATTTCATCCACTCTTAGTTTGTAATAAATTATTCTATAATTACAACTTATATTTATAGATATGAATATTTGGTTGCATCAAGCTGTTAAGTCTCGAGGTGCATCAGGTGGTCCACGTAACTACTTGGCTATATTTTTTCGTCGTCTTTGTAAACTACTTTTCTTTGGCATTCGACCAGTGTTTGTATTCGATGGTGATACTCCAGCCTTGAAACGAGCAACTATAGTAAGCTCCATTGTTTTTATAGTATCATTTGTTGGATGCTATTTGCGTTCAAATGTAATCACCACTTACAAAAAAGAGGCAGAAATTGTGTTTAACTGTGCACAACTACGTGGGAATGATTAGCTACACCAACTTGTCTCGAGTAATAAATGAAATAAACCTGAGAATAAGATTGATCCTACAGATAATAGGCGTTAAGTTAGAGAGCAAGTACAAAAGAAAGTCAAAATGAGGACTAAAAGGTATACAATGAAATTATATCTTACTTAAAATAAAAATAGAATAGACATTCGAGTCATTATGATTAGCTTTCATTCATGGTATATGAAAACCTTGTTCGCAAGTTCCTACATTATTATTCAAAACTTTTGGGTTTCGCATATGCTTTAGAATAGTTAAATACTCTGTAGATTGGTGCTAGTTTTATTTGACTGTTGTGCAACTTATTTATTTATCCAAAAGTAGTTTAAGTGACAATTTAATCGATCACTGGATTTCTACTAACTTCGACTGGATACCTAGAAAGGTTTACTAATTACTAAAAGCAAACAAACAAAAGATTCTAGGATTGTGGGAATAAATGGCCGAAGTGGACACCTTCTTCGTCTTCGCATCTATGAATACACACTAGCCGTCAAAAGAAATGATTTCCACTCCCACATATTGCTGCATACAGACAAACACGAACATTAATTCAACTGGAACAACGTTCAAATATTAGGAAGAGGAAACACCAAGAACGCCAGAGAATTTTTGGAAGGCTGGTATTCGAGTGAATCGGCAATTAACAGGCACATTAACATAGATGAATTTTACCAATCCAAGAGAGGAAAATCTCATGCACAAAAAGTCAAACTGCAGACCAACAATACTAATAAAACTAGACGAGGGGTTGTGAGGACAGACAAGAGCGACCAATCACATTCAAGGTTATCCGGAGAGATGACTAATGAACTCGTGGAGTTATCGAAAAGCTCACTTCAAATTAAAGTATGCATTGAAGATGTTTCCTAGTAGGGCAATGAAAGCTTCGCAAACTAACTATCCAGCTCAGAGAACACAACCACATCAAAATCATCCACCTGAGCTACAAATCTCCATTATACCTAAATGTCATAGCGCACGAAAACACGGTGAGCTTAAATACCTAGCTCTAGCAGAGAACCGAACGCAATGGAGACGCATGGCTGAAGCCCTATGTTCCTCTAGGAACTAAAGGAAATAATAATAAATAATAATTAAATACCTAGAATGAAGCAATGTCAAGCAAAGATAAACATTCGAACAGGCAATAAATGAATCGCGATGAACTCAAGTGTTGTGAAATGATGCTAATGTATTCGGATGTTAAAAGAAACGAAATATGATTTCTACTAAATCGGTTGACCAACAGAGTAGATGCAATGACGTGGTGACTGAATATAAAACATACTACTTATAAAGTTTAAGTAGTATGAAATGCACACCACAAATAATAAGGGTAGAAGAGAAATAAGAGGGAGGTAAGAAAAGAATCATTAGTTGCATAGTTATCATGATGTGGAGATAAAGAAAAATGAATTTCGCCTTAAGTACTAACCAACATTGGGTGATTTATCATTTTTGCTAGGCAAAATAAAGAAATTAACGCCGCGTCTGTGGTGTTCCTTCCTAGTGTCCAAGTTTGAGGGTAAATTTAGTTTATTATAAGCAGTACTTTCTCTATATATGTTACACCTTTCGTAAAGTGTATACTTACTAGGTTTGTGTAAAGCGAACAGTGACACTATTGTTTTGAGTCTTGCTTGCTGTAAGTGAGCCATTTTATTGACTCTTTTTTGCGTCAATTTGATTACAGAACACAAGACGTCAGTTGCGTAACTCAGCCGAAGCCAAAGCAGAAAAAGCTCAAAAGCATCTTCTTCGCCGACTTTTACGTCGTGTTGCAGAATCTCAAGTGGGATCAAGTAACGTGTCAACCAACGGAACACAACCTCCTGAAAACTTAGGTAGTTTACATTTATTTCAATAAGAACGAACATTATGAATCACGAGTCTTGGAGTTTGTATGACTTCCCGATTTATCTCTACAAAAAAGTTGTTTTTCAATCTATAAGTAGTTTTAAATATGATTTTTTCTCTCATACCAGTCAACTTCAAAGTCTAGAACTCTTATCACCAATAGCTGAGTTGTTTCATTTATCTTATGAACTAAATTGTAAATTGTTTGACCGAGGGGATATGCCCCCCCAATTGATAGTTGCTAACTGGACGTGATGGTCGGGTTTACATATCCTAATGACTCAGTGAACTACTCTGGTTGGAAGTAATATTCGTGCAGGTCCTACCAGGCCAGGAAAATCGTTTAGATAGCTGTTAGACTAAAAGCATTTACCATCATAGTGTAAGTCGCTTACATTATGTTGGAGATCTGATCGCGAAGTCGTACTTCTGGCAAATGGGGATGTAACAGCAGTAAGGTGTGTTTCCTTTGGACGACCAACAAGCCATCTATACTGTCTCTCTCCTCTCTGGAGAGTGGTGGAAGGTAAAAAATGTTGACCCTGGAAATTTTACTTCTTGACTTACCTTGCAGCGGTCCATAGCTGACGGTCAGGTCTTAATATGGACACAACTCCGAAAACCAGACGACATCAAGCACATGTCTACTCGGCTGCATCTATGGTGTGAGCAGCTAAAAAGTAACAATCACCCACACACTTTCATAAGATAAGATACACTATCTACCTTCCTAGATACCTTTCATATATGGAAATGTTGAATGCGTTTTAAAGGGAATGCGTAGTGTTGAATGATTAGGAACACCACTCTCAGATTATCGATTTCTGTATCACTTAATGAGTCAGTTAAACAACGCATGATTTTCTCCCATGCACAAAATGTTGCGCTATTCTATCAAATATAAGTAAGATATGCTTAGCTCTTATCGTGTGACCATAATCGTTGATTATTTGCATGTCATCCAATCTCAGGCCGTACTGAGTTAAAGCAGGAAATTAATTTACCTCACTTAGACTGTGGAAAAGAGGTTTCTGTTTAAAAAAAGTGATGCTTAAATTCAGAAAATAACCCCAAACAACGATATGGTTCAAATTACTAATCTGTGAGCTAAGATTGAGGTGCTGCCACAAGTAGACTAATACATCTGAACTTCTCATTGGGTCTCTGTTGTTCAGTGTTAATTCTTTTTCAGTGTAACAGGGTGATACTCACCTGGCCCAGTTTCAAACAAATTGAATCAGATAGAAAAAAATATATAACTGACTATTTAATGTCTGCTAGTTATTATGACCTATTTTTTTTCAAACTTTACTGTTGTTTCATACTCATAGCCAAGGAAGAACTGTTACGGCGATTGAAGCAGCAGTCAAATTCTCTTCAGGCTATGGAAGATGCTGAAATTTTCGCAGCTCCATGTAATCAGTCTACGTAAGTGATTTTGTTTTAGTCTGAAACAACCTGCAAGTGATTTAGTTTGATAAAGGTGTGTCGTTCTATACACTAAATTATAAGTTACAGTTATTTCTTAAGTATCTTTAAGACTCACTTCCCCAGACTGATGAAAGTTGGGTGGATTTGAATATATATGTGATTGTTGACTCCTCATATTAGTTATCTATACGTGTTTCTGTTATACTAATAATATTTATTATCCGCTGAAGTGATTCATAGAAAACTTCTCAAGGGAATTTTCAGAGTATAGATGGTTACTGTTTTTTTAGTTGATCAGTGAGTTTACAGATATATGAACATTAGAATTCGTACATGAATCAAACTAATAGCCTTTATGCTATCATAATGATTGTAGGTATAAACATGTGGGCGGAGATATTGACTAATTAGCTTTGACACTTGAGTGTCGTCGAGTAAACTCTAGGTCCGAATCGCTCTTCAACTCCATCAGCCTAGGAAACTGAGTAATTTCATCAGCCTTTGAACAACAAATGTGACTTGTAGGCTGATGCATAAACAAATCTGTTCCAAGTAACCAGGTTCTCTAACTATGAATACACATACTTATAAGAATTAAGTAGTAGTTACCAGCGACAAAACAAGTATAACCTATAGAATTTAAATTACTCATTAATAATTTCGAATATCATTTTGGATAACTGAATAAGAAATTTATTTAGCACACAAATTTAGTTTAACAACTCATTACTTTATGCTTTTCAATGTCAATTATAAGGAAAGAAAGACTTAATCATGAAATGTACCATTCTCTATGCAGAAGAAAACTCTACTCTTTATTTAACTGAGAGGGTGTGTGCGTAATTCGAAGCAAAATATTTTTTGATGAGTGACAATTCAAAAGTACACCCAAATTAACTTCTAGAAGCCGGATAATACAGGTCATCCAGAGGTGAGTCTCCAAAAAAGGAGGACGAAGTTTTGAGAACGTTGAGGGAGTTTATGCTTCAAAGATTGTTTCACTGCTTACTTCAAATATAATAGAAGAATGCAACAGTATTGATGTTGACAACATTTTGAAGTTGTAGATAAAGGTATATTTACTATTAGACTGTATCGTCCTAGTTTGGGACTCGTCGACAGGACGAAACCGCTATCCAGTACTCCGAGATTTTCCAGTGGTTCTCTAACCGATGTCAGCTTATGATGAAATTCTGTGACCAATCAAATCAAATCCCTTGAATATAAAAATGTTATCTATTTCATCAATGTTACCCTACAAAATGGACACACATCCCTGTCTTTTTCAGTCATTTTAAGTGCCATCGTATGGTACGTGGCATTAAGTAAGTGATGGTAGCATATGCAGGATATATTCAAACCACTGAATCCATACAGTATTATCAGACTTACCGGTGGAAGAGTAGGAGCCTCTGCTTGTAAATACTTGGAATTGTTTCAAAAATGTGCAGTAAATTGTAATAAACCCCATACAGACAGTCGCTTTATTTTACAATTAACAGGTGGCAGTCATTTTTCAGGATGGATAACCGCAAAAACAGATCTGCGACTTGAGTAGTCCGGTAATAAAGTATAACTTTAAAACTTAGCAATCTAACTCCTAATATGACTAATTTCGTTATGTATATACACTAGTGGTTTCCTAAATTAATGGTTTTATAACCTCTAATGTCTTTCATATTTCTCTTTAGATCAAGTGATACCAAAGGTGGTGGAATCATGCTAAGTGAGAACGCTGGATTAGAATATGATGAGTTGGCTCGTGATTTCTTAGTAAGTAGTTTTTTCTTTTATGAATGTAATTTGATTCCAACTATACCAGTGAGTACTTATCGATAGTTGGGAAGCAGTAACATCCATCTTCAAACTTTTGCTGTCGAATTAAAGTGGTCAGAACATTGTATTGTTGTTCCTCTTTTCGCACAGAGGAGCTAAATTATTCAAATTCTTCCATTTCGATCTAGTTGATTTGTTTTTCTGTAGAATTGGTTTTCGAATTAGTCACCTATTGTTCAGTAGTAGAACCCAATAGTTCATGATACCTTTATGTTAGATATCACAATTTGAAATTTTGACTGCAGTTTTTTTCCCAGCAGAAATTCAGTCGTTAGTACAGTTTTATAGGTTCTGCAAATTGTCTATATGAACTGAATGTGATGTGCAAATGAGTTATTTATTGCAATCATGTTTAGTTTTCCATTTGGATCTTAATATTTAGTACATATGGTGTATATGTTACCTAAATGACGTCTATCTGTTGCTCGGTAGCTGCGTTTTTCAGAATTTTCTCTAAAAGTATTAAGTATATATTAGCTGGTTATCACTATTCGTCATTTGTTTCGAAAATTTTTCTTTCTCTAACTGAAAATAACTTCTATTTGTGCGCTATATATGTGTATGGACGTTGTGTCGTCTGATTATGTTTAGTCTTCAAACCATATGGAGGTGTTAATACTTGTTTTTAATTCAGTTTTGATTTTTCCGCCGATTGATAGAACGAAATGGTCACCATTCGTGACCTCCCACTGAATTTGTTCAAGTTAATCCTCAGACATCGTCAAAACATCCTCGGTAGGAGCCGGTATGTCAGCAGATGCCGAACATTTCGATCTAATCAACCAACGGAAAAAACAAAACAAAAAGCCACTGATACCCGTTGTACAGGTGGTGAATCTCCTGGCCCGAATTCTCTGGTGGTTAACGCTTTGGCGTTTGAAACGATGGGTACTAGGTTTGAGTTTCGGTAAAAATACCATCACCCACTGAGAATGCAGGTATATCCAGCTTATGAGACGAAATGCTTACCTTGGATTCCACTGTTGGTTACCATCAATCAAAATTAATTCAAATGGAGGTTAGTTCATCCAGGAGTGTGTAAAGTCGGAGTATGGTTTCGTGGCCTGTGACCCGCTAATGGTTTGCATCTATAGAGCTTCTGTTACCCACAAAAGTGAAATATCGGATGTGAATGTTTGACGCTTACAACCGGACTGGTGGACCTGCTGGTCTACCTGGGGACCTGGAAAACCCTGATTACAAACCTATGGTGTACATGGGTTCCAGAATCCGAACGAATGAATACTGTATGAATTTGTTTTGGTCATTGGAAACCATAAGAACTCAGTGTATGACGCTGCTCCACAGCTATATGGATCCGACTTCAAGTTAAAGCCTCGAGACAACCACCTGCTTCGGTCTTGGCGTTCGGGCAGTATTCAGCCCTCACACAAATCATGAGATTGTGTGTGACTCAACTCTTTGCGCTCATTATGTACCGGGTTTTTGTTTTAATTATACGTATGCATATACACTATAAAACTTCTGTATGCAGTGTTCATTATCAGTGTGTTTCGCGTTAATGGTACCTAGACTAACAGTGAAACCGCTATCTGCTTAGGGTTCTTTTTCAAAGTTTTTCGTCACAGGATATTATTATTATTTCCTTTAATTCCTAGAGGAACATAGGGCTTCAGCCGTGCATCTCCATTGCGTTCGGTTCTCTGCTAGAGTCTTCACCTGGCTCCATGTCTGCCCACACGTTTTCATCTCCTCTTCACATGACCTCCTCCAAGTCACCCTCACACTGACGACCAACTCGCCGCTTCCCTTTCGGGTTACACTCGAGGGCTTGTCTAGTGATGTCACTTGATGATTTGTTTCCTCAGAGTATGGCCAGCCAATTCATCTCCATTTCTTCCTGCCTATTTGTTTCACAATCAGTTCCTGGTTGGTTCGCTCATTGCCAGAGATCCCTGTTGCTTATCTTTTCTGGCTGGCCATCTGATCTTGAGTATTGAGCGAAGACAACTGTTAATGAAGGTCTGTAGTTTGTTTGAGATGCTTTTTATGACGCGCAATGCAAGTCTCTGATCCGTATAGTAGCACTGACTTCACATTGGAGTTGAAAATCCGGATCTTATTTTTGATGCTGAGTGTTGTTGACCTCCACACAGACTTGAGAGTAGTGAAAGCTTGTCTTGCTTTCCCGATCCTCGCTTTGATATCCTCGTCAGTTCCGCCTGTAGTTGAAACGATCCTTCCCAGGTAGGTAAAGGATGAATAGTACTGTAAAGAAGACAAGACTGAGGAGACTGAAAGGAATGTTTTTTTGGTGAAACGTATGGTACATAGCTAAATTTGGAATACCATATTCTCAACCGGTTATTTGCACATCTTTACCACATCCTTGACGAATTGGTCGAATATCGTCTCATTCGATAGCTTCTTGGATTCTGCATCATATGGCAACATTCTTCTCATGGTTCTCTTCTTTGAATGCTCTTTCCAGTGTGCCAAACATGTTGTTACTTCGTTCCTGATGTACTACTTATATCGGATTATAAGTAGCACTCACCACACTCGCCCCCTCATTATAAAGTCTCTCCTGTAACCGCCTTGATCGCTGCACAGACGTTTCATATTGCTGTTCTTCAGGTTAATCGTCTTGACATTCTTTTCTTCATCTTTGTAGCAGACTTGCGTTTACTCTTTTCTCTTTATCTCCTCTCTTTATTGTGTACACTGGACCGCGTCTCGATGTGACCACATATGGTCCCTCCCACTTCGGCAGAAGCTTTCCTGATCCTGGTCCACTTCCGGTAGTATACTTTCGTTCTCAACATTTCACCTGGTCACCTACTTCAAACAGCTTCCAAGCTTTGATTTGTTTCTTGCCGTAATTTTCGATGTCTTTCTTGCGCTTCTCTTGTATATTCTGAATAGCTTGTTTCCGCTCACTTGTCCATCTCTTACTGTTCCATTTTTGTTGTGTTGGCCAAGTCTTATGGTGCACCAGTAAGCGTGGTTTCCTCCCATACATCAGCTGGAAAGGCGACTTTTTTGTTGTCCCTTGTAATGTGGCACGATGTGCTAGTAATACCAACGGTAAGTCAGTTTCCCAGTTGCCTCTTTTCGCAGCTAGCCACTCCTTGAGTGTACGATTGTTTCTTTCGGTTAGGCCGTTTGTCTGCGGATGATACGGAGTCGCTCTAATCCTCTTAATACCCAGTGCCTCCAGACGAGTCTTGAACTCCTCACTTTCAAAACAGGAGCCTTGATCTGTCAATATCATTTTCGGTACACCATGATCCGCCACAATATGTCGAATGACGGCCTCGGTTACGGTTTTGGCGCGCTGATCTGGAATCGCTACAGCATTTACCCACAGCGTGGCGTGTTCCGTCATCATTAAAATGTATTGATTTCCACTTGCTGTTTGAGGGAAAGGACCCATTATGTCCACGGACCATAGGTCACCAACCGCCGTTACGGGTATCGTTTGTAGCTGTGGTCGAATGCACCGATCACCCTTCATCAATTGACACTGTGGGCAAGCGAGTACGTAGTTTGCAATATCGCCTCTCATGTTTGGCCCGTACGCACTTTGGCTCACTAGGTCGTATGTTCGTGCAACTCCTGTATGGGCTAGTTGGTGGCATTCTTGAATGACCCCACGACGAAGGCTTTTTGGTATCACTGTAACCCAGCTACCATCACTGTCTTTCCAAGTTAGGACGCCGGCAGCGTTTAGTTTGAGTCTATGTTTTTGCTGCAGTAGCATCTTTAACTCTCTATTCTCTGCTGCCATTTCAATTTCTTTCCCTTCACGTATCATCTGAATGACTGTCTTAAGAGTAGGATCCGACTTCTGGTGGCGAACAAGTTGTAAGGGATCTTGCTCCAAAGCGTTTACTGCATACGCTACCTCTGGTAGTTCAGTCTCATTATCTGACCTCGACAAATAGTCAGCTATTACATTTTCTTTTCCTGGAATATGTCCAATCGTGAAGTCATACTCTTGTAGGCGTATCATCCATCGTGATAACTTCCCTCGTGGATCCCGTGCTGTTTTCAACCACTGAAGAGGTTTGTGGTCGGTCTCAATGTGGAATCGGCGGCCGATCAGATATGGTCTCCATTTTTCTAGTGCCCAAACAATGGCTAAACACTCCTTTTCCACCGTAGTATACTTCTGTTCTGCAAGTGTCAACACACGGCTAGCGTATTCAACAACCCCATCTGTTTGTCTTAAAACAGCACCTATACCATAATCACTGGTGTCTGTCGAAACTGTGAACTGCTTCCCCGGCGCTGGCAGTTTCAACGTCATCTGTTGACCATCTAACAGCTCTTTAATTCGCTCAAACGTTTGCTGTGCCTCTTCCGTCCACATGAATTTCGCGTCACTCAGCAACGTATATAGTGGTTTTGCTATCTCATTGAAATTCTTGACAAATCGGCTGTAGAATGCCGCTCTTCCCAAAAACTGTCTCAGCTTTCGCTTTGAATTTGGCACTTCGCTGGTTTTGACCGTCAGGATCTTCTCCGGCAATGGCCGTATTTCACCATTTCCCACTTTGTAACCCAGGAGGACAACCGTGTTTTTAGCTATTTGGGACTTGTTCTTATTAATCCGCAATCCAAAGTCATCAATTCTCTTTAAGATAGCTTCGATGTGGTCTATATGGTCGCTTTCCGTCTCACTATACACCACCAAGTCATCTCCACATACTTCTACGTTCTTCAGACCCTTCAGTAATAAAGTCATTAATCTTCTGAATGTAAATGGGGCACCTACCAATCCAAATGGCATTCGTTTAAACCGGTATTGTTTCTGCCCAACTGTGAACGCTGTTTTACTTCGATCACTTTCTGCTATTGGGATCTGCTAGTAACCCGATCGTAGGTCGAACACGGTGAATAACTTAGCTTTATGAAGGCGATCAAGAGTTTCTGTTACGGTAGGCATTGCACACTGTTTCACTTCGGTGAGGCTATTCAGCTGTCTGAAGTCGACACAAAATCTATATTTCCCGTTAGCTTTCTTCACCAAAAGGATTGGCGAACTGTACGGACTGTCGGCTTCTTCGATTATTCCGTCGTTTAACATTTCTCTGACTTGCCGGTTAACTTCTTCTTCAAGGTGAACCGGAACTCGTCGCGATGAAAAGACTGTCTTCCCCGTATCCTTTAGTGGGATGTTATGCTTAACCTTATCACAATAACCGTATGGGTCTCCATCACTAGTGAATAAACCGGCATATTTACTCATCAACGTGGTTAGACGTGGTGCATCTTGCGGAACAATGGTTGTGGTTTCCACCTCAGCGACTTCACTATTCTCATGTATCGCGAATTGCCCGTGTTTTGTGACCACTTTTCTATTCTTCATATCGATTACAGCTCCTACTTCTCTGAGAAAGTCTGCTCCCAAAATCGTTCGTCTTATATCAGAAGTTACAATAAACGGATATCGTATTTTTCCTGCTCCAATCTCTACAACGCAGTCTGAAACGCCAAGAATGTGCAACGGATGTCCTCCTACCGTCTGAACTGCTAATGTGCACGGCCTTATTTCCTTACACTGTTCTCTACCTATCAACGAAACTGCCGCCCCTGTGTCGACCAAACAAACTATTTCTTTTTCGTTCACCCGTAATCTCCCGTACACTGAACCTCTTTCGACTAACCCGACCACCTCTAAACGCGAGCGAGAAAAAGAAGGAAGACTGTATCGTTTAAGGTTTTTCTGCCTTCGTTTCGGGCAGTTTCTCTGCCAGTGACCGGTTCCTCCGCAAGCAAAGCATCTGTTGTTTGTTCTTTTCTTTATCTGCATAGCTGCCACCTGTTGTTTCAACTCTTCAATCTTCTTGGAATCTTGGCCCTCCGACATCACTGGAGCAACATGCGAGGTCATTATCTGCCTTGTCACCTTGGCCATTTCATAAACATCCATTGGCTGAGCTGCGTTAACTAGCTGCAACTGATGCGCGATATCTGTCGGGACGCATTCGAGGAACTGAGATGCAAGCAACTGCTCCCGTGAATGTTCGTCTAGGGTGGGTAACGCGCGTCGCAGGTGATTCGTCAGCGTTACTGCGAGAACCAACGGATCCCCATCCTGGCCAAGTCTCAGCGTTCGAAACTTCTGCAGTGCCTCTTGTCTGTCCGCAGGGCTGTCGAACTCGCACACGAGCCTCTCGACGACCTTGTCCCACGCCGCCTCACCTTCCAGCTCCCGAGCGTTGTCGTACGCAGCCTTCGCGCGGCCCCTCAGCAGCGTCCCCAAGACAACCAGCTTCGCCTTCTGCTCCTGCACTCCAACCAGCTCCGCGACAGCTTCGAAGTCCCTGAGGAACGTCCGCACATCTCCCTCCTCGAACACCTGCGGCCATGGCACCTTCATCTCCGGCAGAGGCAGCGACACCAAATGTAAAGAAGACAAGACTGAGGAGACTGAAAGGGTGTTTTTTTGGTGAAACGTATGGTACATAGCTAAATTTGGAATACCATATTCTCAACCGGTTATTTGCACATCTTTACCACATCCTTGACGAATTGGTCGAATATCGTCTCATTCGATAGCTTCTTGGATTCTGCATCATATGGCAACATTCTTCTCATGGTTCTCTTCTTTGATTGCTCTTTCCAGTGTGCCAAACATGTTGTTACTTCGTTCCTGATGTACTACTTATATCGGATTATAAGTAGCACTCACCACAGTACTAATGAGTAGTATGTCATTTACTGTCATATTTTTTCGGAGCTCTCAGTAGAAATAAGCAAAACCCACTGATCTGAGACGACGGAAGTTTATAACCTAATTAATAAACGTACCTCCTCACTAAATAATACACCTCGACTCAGTACTGACCAGTCAGTAATTTCATCTCATGTGAACAGTTATCAAATAGACATGCGTTGAAGTTTCTGTAGCAATTTGGTTAAGTTTTGGGGGTGGAGTTGCTAGCACCACGCCCCAACCCTCCCTCTTTATCCGGGCTTGGGACTGGCTAGAAAACTAGTGAGCTAGTAATCTAGGCGAGGTTATCAAATAGACGTAGCCTACTTTAAAATATATCGGAATCTTACTTGAACATCAGTTGTTTATTTAGGCGCATAGTACAACGCAAAACGCGTGTCAAGGAACTTAACCCTAAGTTCCTATTGTAACGAAGATGCTCCGAACCGATAATTACTAGGTACTTTTCTCGACTTTAACTCCAAAACACCAGTACTCGTTTTGAAAGTTATATTGTTTGGCAATTGAAGTAAAAACAATTACAAATCTGTAAACAAATGTTTTATACAAAATATAATATACTTTTATTCGTATTCTTTCGTCTTCTTCCAACTTGTACACGACTGAACTATTGGCGCCTTCGAGTTGCCCACCAGTGACTACCAGTTCCAATAAACAAACGTTCAATGTTCACGTCCATTGACAACGCAATATATTGGTTTGTGAGATTGCGAAGTCACATTCACTTAGATGGTTGTGGTTGTACGTTGCGTTAATCATTACTCCAATACTTCAAACTCAAAGATCTAAAACAGTTAACCAATAAATAAAGTGCGTGACTAGCCAGTCAATGTAGCTTGTCAAGCATTAGATGATATAGTTGAAATTAGTGTTTGATTGAATACTGGATTTATGGGTGCCATATTGGTTTTATTTGTATCAGGGTACTCATATGTCAACCTGTCTTTCAATTGTAAACATCCTAGCGATATTGTTTATTTCTCGATAAAATCTCGTTTGTCGTCAATGGGCCTGAAGGGTAACACAGTCTCTTACTTGTTCGAAGCGGTTGACTTTTTCAAAAGCCTCATTCTGTATTGCAATCTGTGGATCACTTTTAGTAGACTAGGTAATTATGTTTAACATTCTTGAATTTTCACTGAAGCTTTTTAGAAATCTTTTGTGGTGAGTGTGTCATCCTAACAAAACTGTCATCTACTTAGTGTAAGCCAACCTAAGAATTCCTCAAGGGGCTATTTCTTGCCAAATCGTAGGTAGACAGGGTTACTACCATGGTTAAATCAGAAAAATGCTGATAAAATATTTTTAGTTGACTTCACTTATCATTTATTAACAACTCAAATGACGTTTATGAGAAAGCTGTGATAACTGTATGATTTCTGGCTGATATAGTTGTTTGGATATCAAACAGGCTACTGTGCAAACATCAGTGCCATTCAAGTGGTTGTAAAATAAGAAACACCAAACGTTATTTTATTGAAATGGTTATTTTTTTTCAAAACTAAATAGTCTCGAAATACTGGAACATCTTCAAAATTAGATTGATAATTACATAAGAAGTAATTTCACGTAAGCCTTTCTTTTAGGATGGTTTTTACTCCTCAGACCGGAAATTGTCAGGAATGGATCTCAACTCAGATGCATTTTGTTCACTTCCTTTGCCTGCTCAATTGCGAGTCGTTCAAATGGCGAGAGAAATATTAGACACTGGTTCATGTCGACGGGATTTAGTTCAAAGAAACAATGAAGGTAAAGTGAGTAGATGTTTATAATAACTGTAATGCATATCGTTAATTATGGAGTGTATAGTGTATAATACATTTTATTATTGTTCGTAATGATTGATGCGACATTTCTGATTGATGTTTGTACTCTGTAAATTTGACCAGTAAAATCTAATACGCATCAGAAAGTTGTTTATAAAGACGAATGTGTAACAAAAACCACCTGTTCAATATGGATGTTTATTTGCTTGGGAATTTTTATCATGGGTCGAAATCAGCTAGAAGATTATTGAAACCATGAGAGAACAATTTGCTGGTTGTTATTATTATTCGCTTAGGTTCCGAGTGAAACATAGAGCTTCAGCAGCATATCTTCATTTCATCCAGTCCTCTACAATCGTTTTTAGCTGGCTCCACGGTAACCCATAAGCTTTCATCTCACTCTATTTCCGCCATGTCACCCTTGAAAGCCTGACTCGTCACTCTTCCTTCGGAATTCACGTAATAGCCTGGCACACAATGTCACTTAACGGTCTCCTCAGCGTATGTCCGACCCATCTCCATTTTCCTCGGCATATTTCTGGGCCATAATTTCTTGGATGGTTCGTTGCCAGACTACCTGGTCTGGTCTCCAGTATAGAGTGAAGGTAGCTGTAGATGATGATTTTGGCTACGTGCCAAGCCTTTGAACCATATAGAAGGACTGACTGAGTTAACAGTTTGAATAAAGTAAGAACGACAGTTCTTGCAAAACAAAATAGAGAAATTAGAGGAAGAATTTGTGTTTCTTGAAAAGACGTTGAAGAGCAATTATTACCCTCAAAAACTGATTAACAAGTACGGAAGATCTGAAGTTTCAAATGTCAAGCAAATCACAGTGGAGAAAAAGCCAATCTACATTCAGCTTGATTATAAAGGTGAAAACATTGCAGCAATGGTCAACAGAAGACTGAGTACGTCACTAGCCGGAGCCTATCCTGCAGTCAAGCTCGTTCCAATCTATCGAACAACCTGCTCTTTGGTGCAATCAAAAATCGATAGATATCTTTCTCATGTTAACTCCAACTGTATATACAAATTTGCATGTTTCTGCGCGAGCATTTACATTGGAATAACAGAAAGAGGGGTATATCTACGATTTTCTGAACATGTACCGAAAGGCTTATGTCACATTGACACGGGTGACGAGTTGGACGTCGCAAGATCGGTCAAAATTATCAATGGGCAAAAGAGTTCAATTCTCCTCAAGTTTACCGAAGCGATCTCCATCAAGCACCTAAAACCTGATTTATGCGTTCAGAAAGAAGCAGTTGTCAGTCTTTCTTTGCCCTGTTAACTGGATATTTTCACCTCTCTTTCATTTGATTACGTAATGTTGAAAGTTTCCATTGTGTATGATCATTATTGTTCGGAATAGTGTTTGATATTATATACTGATTGGTTGATTTTTGTTTAAAATGAACTCTGTGCAAGTATGTTAAAACTGTTTTTGTAGATACGTTTAATAATGACTTTAGCCTGTAAGCAGCTGATGAGAAGCCAACGAAATAAATGATGATACCATTTTATTCTGCAAGAACCGCTGTTGTTCTTGCTTTATTCAAATTCATTAAGGGGAATAAATATATGAGTTAACAGTATTATTGAAAATACCTGTTTTGTTCTTTATGCTTAGTAAAGTAGATTTACTGACTGATTTTGGGAAATTGCCTGGTTTACTAGTTCGGTTGCTGATCCCAAGTCTGGAAAAAGACAGAAGGTTTGGCATGAGGCTAGCTACCCTACCCTGGAAAATCAACCCGATCACTACAGAAACTTCAACTGAGTGAAGAGTTATCACAGAGAGGTAGTTATCTGTTTCTTCCCAAGTAGACTTTCCACTGGTATACAGGACTTACCTCATGTGAGATCATCTCGTCCTAAGATTAACTATATACCACTCAACAACTGAATTGTAGTCCAATGACTAAATTTTGTTAACGGTAAATTAATTCCCAATGTATTCTACCGATTTCTGCACCATTACAGTTAAGTTGTGAGATATCCCAGATACCGATTTACAGTGAAAAGGGAAGTATACAAGCAAACTAACAAACTAGAACTACTGTTGTAGCTTTGCCGTGTGTATTTCCATTACATTTCTCTACCCTCCTTTTGTCCGTTTCTTCTAAAGTGAAGCAACTTGAATTGATGCACTTTTGTGCAAAGTTTCACGTTGATAAACCAAGTAATCAGCAGTCTTTTTCTATGTGTACATATAGGCATATTCAAGTAATAAATTTTTACCAGACTCAGAAGAGTGAAATCTTTTACTATGATTACTTTCTGTGTTAGTGAACTGTTTCTATGCTTGATTTCAACCTCTGTTTCTCGTGATATTAGCTTTAGTATTCATCATTTTTTATCGCATTAACTAAATCAATAGTTTGCCTTTCAATTCCAATGTAAAATGAGTGTGTATAGTCAAGACACCTTTCATAATATTATCATTGCTCTATTTATTTTACTTTTCTTTATCATTACAACATATCAAACACTTCACAGCTCTACATCATAATGTTAGAAAATTCATCAGTGTATTTCAGTTCTCAGAAAGTTTGTTTATGCTCGTCTCTGTTTATAAGCTTGGTTAGAACTCATTGACTCAACACTAGGCTATGAGCGCTACACTTATTGTGTGCAGGCCGATGATACTGACCAGTTTCCCAGGCAGAAGTAGATGGAGTGAAATTCGAATGTGGGACAGATGTGCTGAAGATTGGAGTACTCAAGTCAACGAGCCACATCTCTAAAAAGTGTTATCCATTCGGTCAATCATCTGAAGATAATCATACATAACTGCTGGATTCAACATAGAACTTGGCACCGAAGTGCAGCAGTTCCAGTTGCCACCTTCCAAATAGCACACAAAGGTAGACAAAAAATGAGTGAAGAGAATCAATAGAGTTTTGACAAGTATAAGAGTGAAACAGAATGAGTAATGGTAGAAAGGAATATGAAAGATTACAGAGACTGAATACATCTGCATAAGCCATTGGCAACGATTTTGAGCCATGTCACCTATTGTCTCCAGCCATTGATTCTTAGAGTCCCGAGGGCCCCAACCCGGAAGTCTGCATCTCCCTCCTACCTGACTCAGTTTAACTGTCAAGGATTTCATGGATTGATGCCATGTTTTTGTTTGGCCACCACTTACTCTTTTCCAGACTGCACCTATATCTGCTAGTAATGCCCGTCGGGGGAGGCGACGGTTAGGCATGCGCAGCACGTGACCTAGCCATCTCAATCTATGTAACTTTATAGCCTCTTCGATTGATTTTCCCTCTTTGCCCAACACTCTACGCCTAACGTCAACATTACTTACCTTATTATACCACCTAACGTAAGAAAGAGATCGTAAAGACCTATGATCAAAAGCAGTCAACCTTTTCATGTCTTCAACTCGTATTGGCCATGTTTCAGAGCCATAGAGAAGGACGGAGCAAACTGCTGAGCAGTACACACGTCCCTTAGTTGATAGCCGGATGTCACGCCTACGCCAGAGACGGTGTAAGTTAGCGAAAGCAGCCCGAGCTTTTTGGATCCGTGCTGAGATTTCGTCTCCAATCAGTCCGTTGGTGCTGATACAACTTCCCAAATAGGTGAAGTGGTCAACATGTTCTATCACTTCACTCCGTATCACTAAGCTAGGAGTTGACGTAGTCCAGTCCTGTAGCAGCATCCTACATTTTACAGGGGTGAATCGCATGCCAAACATACGAAGATTGCTGCTCAAGGTGTTCAGAAGACTCTGCATTTTGTCAGCGTCCTCGCCTAGAAACACTGTATCGTCCGCATATTCTAAGTCAACGAGATTATTCCCTGGTAGCAAGTCAATCCCTGATTTGCTGAAGTGAGTTAGGGTTAAGTCCATTAGTACGTCTATGATGAAGTTGAATAGGAATGGGGATAATGGGCATCCTTGACGGACACCACTGGTTGTTATCAATTCAGATGACAATTCCCCATAAGCCCTTACACGGCTACGTGAGTTTGAGTAGAGTGCCTTGATTAGTGCAATGTACTTTCTTGGCACTCCTTTTACAGTCAAACATTGCCATAGTACCTCTCGATCCACGGAGTCGAAGGCCGCCTTCAAGTCAAGAAATATGGCAATTGTTGGACGCCTAAAAGTGTGTCTATGTTCTAGGATCTGTCGGAGAGTGAACATATGATCTATGCACCCTCTACCTGGCCTAAAACCTGCTTGATTTCCCCTCGTTTGTTACATACATAAAGCTTGACTTTGGAAGTATTTGATGAAATATATTCAGGATAATTCAATACACACTGACGATTTAGATATGATGGAGAAGATTTGTAGCTCAGATGGATGATTTTGATGTGGTTGTGTTTTCTGAGCTGGATAGTTAATTTGTGAAGCTTTCATTGCCCTACTAGAAAACATCTTCAGCGCATACTTCAATTTGAAGTGAGCTTTTAGACTTCTCCACGAGTTTATTGGTCATCTCTCCTGGTGACCTTGCACGTGATAAAAAGGAAATCTCACACAAAGGGTCAAAATTCAGGGTGTGAAAACACACAAAAACAACCAATCACGTGCAAAGTCACCAGGAGAGATGACCAATAAACTCGTGGAGAAGTCTAAAAGCTCACTTCAAATTGAAGTATGCGCTGAAGATGTTTCCTAGTAGGGCAATGAAAGCTTCGCAAATTAATTATCCAACTCAGAGAGCACAACCACATCAAAAACATTGACCATTCTCATCTGAGCGTAGTTCAGTATTTAGCACAGTCATCTATAGAAGATACTGTTGAAGGAGTTGAAACTATCAATGAGATACCACCTTGTTAATATTTATGCAGACTAGTTAATATTCAACTTTTTGACTTATTTTCTTCTTTTGTATAGCATCGTTTGACCCTGAAACATTTTCCGACGTTCAGACAAAACGTTTACTTTTACGTCGTCGCTTAGCAGAACGTCAACAAGAATTATCTGATAATTTAACTAAACAAGAAGCTGTTCAACAAGTTCTTCAATTAGATAATACTATGATAAAAAATATTCTAAAAAATCAATCGTTATTCTCCACATTATCGTGTTCTTCTACAGAGTCTACTGAAACTATAGCGACAGCAATGCGAATTCAGTCACAAGATGTTGGACATGCTATTTTGCTTAAACAGTCCCCGTTGAAAAAATCGAACAGTTTAAGTAAATTACCTTCATCTACAACATTCGATTTAGAAAAGTAAGCCTGTTTCAGTGAAATTTAAATGTAATTCCTTTTTCTTTCCTGGTGAGTGATTTCCTATTAAAGGCATTTGAATTTTTTCAGTTACCATACACATATGGTTCCCTCGATAAATTTCGATGAAGCAATTAAAACCAAATTTCCAGTGCAAAATGAAATTCTTTTACTTCCCAGGTTCTTGTCGGTTTCCGACTACCTGATATTACAATGAATATAAAAGAATGAGAATAATATACTTCAATGGTGGAATAATAGCAAGGGAAATGTTATAAATTAGGGTATCCAAAATATAAACATCAGAAAATCTGATGGAAGCATTTATGTGCTTGCTACCAAAGGTGCATATAAATCTGCAAATGCAGTTGAAAGTGACATCAAAAGGGTAATTAACCAGTTTGGATTGGTTTATTGAATACATGGTTCTGCATAACGATACAACCTTAACTTCAGAAAAACACCTATTTATCTCTTATTTCACTCTCTTGTTGGTCTTTTGGGATATTACTGTGACATAAAAAGACAAGGACCAGGCAACAGCTTGTTTATTAAGAAAATCGAGAGGTATTTATAGATTTTTATGTACAGTATTTTTAGCCGTTTCTCAGAAAATCAAGCCATACATCTGCGAATCATATTTCCACACGTTAACTCCTCTGTTTTTCTCATGACCCTGATTCGGGAGGTGAACATTGACGTAAATTGTTGTCTACAATTTTGGCTTGTTCGCAGCCATCTCTCACCACACTACTTCTCCTTGGAATAGAAAACGAATAAAGACTTTTTTATTTTCAAAAGTTGAGTGTTTTGTTCTCTTGACTTTCTCCTTACCATACTTCAGATTGCATTTCGTTGAATATACACTTGTTGAGTGAACGTAGTTTCCTAGCTATCATAGAGCGTCCTCACTAATCGACGCTTTTAGATGACATGACAGAGGCTATTTTAGTGGATATATTGTCCAGTTCAGACTACCAGTTTTAATTGGCTGTATTGTAAAGAAAGATACTTCTAAGTAAATCGCTGAACACTTGCTGTTTTATTTCTCTTTCAGACTAATTACATTAAACCCCATTGAATTAAATGCATCAATTAACAATGAAGAAGTTCAATGTACTAAAGAAGCATCATCTCTAGATGATACGGAGGACTTGAAGAAAATATCCAATATTGAGTTACCTAGTGATGATGTATGTTCACCTAAACAATTACAAATTCCTGTGAATGAACAAAATATCGAAAAAAGTATTACTGACTCAAAATGTTATTCGTTTGATGAACAATCAAGCATTTCGGAGTCGTTGAATAATAAACAGATGGAAGATGAAGGTGAAAAGGAAGTGAAAATTTCTGATAACTTTGATAAAGTGGACCAGAAAATTATTACTACTAATAATAATTCTTCTGAAAATGCGCATATTGTGAGCGCTTCTCGAGATTCATTTAGTTTAGAGACAGAAAAACCGCCAATAAAACCTGAGTCACCAGTTTTAGAAAGTCTATGTGATCAGAACAATATTCGTCAGGATGAATCTAACCTGAATTCGAATTTATCTCAGCATGTTCACGAAGTAGATTATGTTAAAGACTTTGAAGATACACAACAAAACAATGAAATGAACAGTGATGATGAAGATGACGATGATTTCATTGAAGTTGAAACTCATGAACATGTTGATATTTCTAACATTTCCAGTGAGTCTACCATATTGCAAAAATACTCGACTGATAAAAGCAGTTCTCATGAAGAAAGTGAATCAATATCTACTCATGAAGAAGGTGAGTGTTTTGACAAAGAGACTGTAGAAGACTCTAACATCGAGGAAGAATACATCTCATCTTCGGATTTAGAAGACGATGATCTAACTGTCGATGATAACATGCTTAGAGAAAAAGCTGATCGTCTTACACGACAAGCTCAATCCACTACTACACGTTGTATTTCAGAAGCCCAGGTAATATAATATAGTAAAACCTTTTGCATAAATCTTTTTTCTGAAAAACTTTAACAAGTAACCAATATAATGTTTTCAATGCTATAAAGTTTCTGAAATTTCTCTGTGTATAATGATTAGATTTGTTTATCAAACAGAGTTCAGAAATGTGATATTACAACATAAATCTTTCTGAAGTTCGTGGTTTCCTGGAATTCGATTGATTTCAAGGTGGGCTTTGTGATGAGTTGGCAGGAGCTAAAGATTCATTGGAAACCCAAAGACAATGGATCGCTGTGCAGCTTCGTTTTTAAAACTCTTTAGCTATTCTAGCTCAAAAGACCGCAAGGTATCGGGTCTAGGTTTTAAACGGAGCAAATCATAATCCAGTCACCGAGTCAAGATGGAATACCACTAAATTTCCTAATTTTTGTCAGTGGTAATGCTTCTACTGAAACCCGAAGCCATAACCCATCGTTTCCAATGTCAAAATGTTATCTATTGCGTTAATAAACCATGAGAAATATCTTTTGTACCATAGGTAGCATTTGACATTATTCGTATTTACTTGTGATTTCCTGTTGGCTATTGACGTGAAGAATATTTAGCACGTTAACTTAACATTTTACTCATGAAATAGAAGGATGTATAATAGTAACGGGTAGCAAATCACTAGAACCTTACTTCTGTGCCAGAACAGCTTTCTGTTTAAAGAGAGAAAAATTCAATAAAGATTATTCTCTGTTCGATCAATAAACGAACAATTTCCATAGGCATATGAAGAAACCATGTATATTGTATATTATGTTGTTATTATTCCCTTGGGTTCCGAGTGGAACATAGGGCTTCAACAGTACATCTCCTGTTCTCTGCAGTCCTTTCTAACTGGTCCTGCAATTGCCTATAGTCTCTCTTGTCCTCTTCATGCGACCTCCTCCATGTCACCCTCGGACGCCCAACTCACCGTCTCCCATTCAGGTTCCACTTGAGGGGCTGGTGCTCAGTATTACCCGATAGTCTCCTCAGCTTGTGTCCGATCTACCTACATTTTCTTGGGAATATTTTTGAGCAGTAGGCCATCGGCTGGTTCTTTCTTGTTGTTAATTGTTTCTGGCCATCTGATCTTCAGTAAAGACCCAACCGAAGGCAGATGTTGATAAAGGTCCGCAGCAGGCTGTTGGAAATACTTTTGGTGACACGTCAAGTCTCTGACCCTTATATATATGAACTGACTTCACATTGGTGTTGAAAATTCGAATTTTCAGGATTTCATTATGAACTGACATCGGTCAGAGACGGTCCTAGGACGAAGCAGCTGTCCATTACTCCCAGGTTTTCCTATGGTTCTCTGGCCGGTGTCAGTTCATGATGAAATCCTGAAACCAATCAAATCCCTGCAAACCAACACTCGAATTCGAATTTTGTTGTTTATGCCGAGTGCAGAAGATTTCCAAACAAACTTCAGATTGATGAAGGTCTGCCTTGCGTTTCTAATCCTGGCTGGTTTTGACATCCTCATCCGTTCTGACTGTAGTTGAAATGATGCAAACTAGATAAGTGAAAGAAATGACCTCTTTCAAATTTATCCCATTGGTAATGATTGGTACTTGTTGTTTTATTAAGTTCAGTAGTAATAGTAGTGTAGCTTTGGCTCATTGATCTAGACGGTCGGCTTTCAATCGGTAAGTTACGCGTTCGAACCGCGCTCCGTCTACCGAGGTTTTTGCAGCCAGGTAGTATCATTAGCCCTCATACAAAAGCTGTGGTTCATCTCCACTTGTGTATAGAATTGCAAATGGTTGTTGAGTAACACTACATGAATAGTAGTATTAATGCAGTATGAATCGATTAACCACCACTATAGGTTTCTTTCGTATGCCATGTCCACCTTTTTTTTCTATCATTAAGATTGTTTTTATACATTTTAATTGAGTTTATTATATGAAGTAAACATTTGTTATTTTCTTAACACTTTAGGATTTGCTACGCTTATTTGGATTTCCATTCATAGTTAGTCCAGAAGAAGCAGAAGCTCAATGTGTGGCATTGCAACGTTATGGCTTGGTTGATTTAGTCGCCAGTGATGATTCTGATGTTTGGCCATTTGGTGTTAAACTTGTCTGTCGTCATCTTTTCGGTACTGGTGATGATAAAAAACGAAAAACAAATCCATCATTGTATAAACTTGATGAAGTGAAACGAAAGTTAGGTATATATATACATGTGTGTGTGCTTCTTCTCACTTTTTGACTTTTGAATTAAATGGTTTAACTAGAATTGAGCTGAAAGTATTCTTAAGGCATGGTGCAATTATATAGCCTTAAATCTTTGTGATAATGTGAATATATGACTCAATGGTTTTGAGATATGAACTCTAGTCAGGCTATTGCGAGTTGAAGCCATTCTTCTTCTTCTTTTTAGAACACGTGGGCTGTAAAGTTGTATCACTGGCCCTTATATAACTAACGTTATAACTTATCGGTGTCTACAAACTCGCGCAGCTATCCTGCTTCCGTTGTTTACTTGTTCTTATTTATGCATGAACTGAGAAATCTATATTATTATCATTATTATTACTGTTCCCGTGGGTTCCTAGTGGGACATAGGGCTTCAACTGCACGTTTCCACTTGTTTCTGTCTTCTACTGTACTTTTCACCAGCATCCATGTTAGTCCATACAGTTTCAGCTCCTCTTCACTCGATCTCCTCCATGTCACCCTTGGACGTCCCACTCGCCGCTTCTCTTTCGAGTTCCACTCGAGCTATGGCCTGACGCGCGATGTCACCCAACGGCCTCCTCAGCGAGTGTCCAATCCATCTCCACTTTCTCCTGCATATTTGTTAGGTGATTGATTCTTGTCTTGTTTCTTCCCATAGTTTCTTGTTGGTGATTCTTTCCGGCCATCTGATCTTCAGTATAGAGCAAAGACAGCTGTTGATAAAGGTC